TCTATCCAGATTGCCTAAACGGGTGTTTCGAGATGTATGCAACATGAGATGATTGTAGTAAGCTGGCACTAAGTCCCTTCCCCGTTCACCTTTATTCTTTTCTGCACAATGAGGCTTTCAAACAAATCGTGGTTGTACGGCAACGAAGCATCAGCATTTTACACCGATATCGTGCTGCAGTTGATGATAATGATGGTGATGATGACACGGTGACCTACCTATGCGTTGCCTCTCGTTATTCACACAAGTCGGCAGCATAGCTGAGATACCCATGGATCTATACGTTTGGAGCCAGCGTAGCAGGCATGCATGACCGACCTGTTCGAAGAAGTTAAATACCGAAAAAAAACTGCCCATCCGTAGATTGTGGGTGTTCCCGCGCCTCAGCGAAGGACACGCTGATGATGAACGTGTCAGTGACGCATGGACGCCCTTTCATAAATCCGTGCTTCTCAGATCGAAACATACCCTGCCCGCAGGTGGGTCTTGATATCCTCATTGACGACTTTCTCCAGCACCTTGGATAAGAATGGCGCTACGGTATACAGAGTGATAGTTGTGTGGATAGTTCTCGACTTCCTTCTTATGAAAAGGCTTCATTGACACTCCCTTCTAATTTCGTGTCAGTCTTCTGCCGTCCAAAATGAACACACTTACCTACTAGTCACATAGAACTCCGCTGTCAAAGGGAGCTAACGGGGGTTCCTCAGAGTAAATAGGGGCGAAGAAACATTTACCCCCATTCAACCTCCGTGGAGCAAGAACCGGAGAAAATTAACTTCGTAGGAATTCAGGGGAAATGCTAAACCGAGTGGATTTGCGCATTCTCAACAAGTCAATTTTCACGGTCTATTATAATGCGCACGCATAGACAAGTGGAATCACTCGTGTCCTGCAATAAACAGAAAACTGAGAACACCTCCACCGATAAACAAGAACGGCGAAAAATGAACACTACGATAAGTCATAGGGTCGTATTGGTGGCTATTAGCGTTTTTCTCGGTTTTCGAAGCTGAAGAATTCTACATCAACTGTTCATCAATCCGGCAGCGACTTCATTGTAGCCAATCAGTAACGCAAATGTATGCACCCAAATGCACCCGAAAACAGTTTGTCCTGGAATGTAGTGTTTGTTACGGCCTGCGAAATTCAGTCCTCGGTTACCATTGTGTCAGGCACGAGGGACTCACAGGCAGCCTCGGATGTCTGCACTAGTGCAGAAAGAGGCGGAGTAGCGGGGCGTTCATACTAAATCACAC